CTTATACAAGGAAAGAAGATGACGTTCCAGGAATTAAAGCGAGAAGCCGAGAATAGGGACAACTGGAGAGCTCTTTTTGGGCAGAGCAATGGACCTGTCGTAAGACAGAACACTAAATAATAATAATAAGGGCTACATATATGGAAATTGGGGTACATGATCTGTGACAATTGGTCTTTTATTCATTGATTGGTTCATATTTTTATCAATAAAATGGCAGAGATAAAGACATTTTAAAGATGATCAAAAGAGACTTAAAGGTTAAAATTAAATTCTTTCACTACATACTTAAATGATGTTAGAAATAATTAGCCCACTGCAGGAGATAAAACAGAAATGCACCACTTGGGCGGTTAAGCACTTTAAAAATATACATAACAAGAGGGAAACAACAGTGAGTGAAACTTTACTGACAAATCACATGCAACATCACTGAAGGTGGCAAATGCGTTTCGGCACACTTCTGATTTCATGCGCCTCTCACACGAATGCTAGCATGGTCTACATTTAAAGACAAAATAATATAAAAAAATAACAAATCAAACGACAGTGAACATACCTGACAAGTTTAACTTGGAATTTGTATTTCCTGTTGAATTCCATAAAAAACTTCATAGCCCACAGATAGTATGATTCATCATTAGCATGTACTTTTGCTCGAACCAGTCCATCCTGAGACGGGGAGAGAAAAGAAAACAAAAAAACACAGCTGCTCAGAAATTCTTAGAAATGGGGCATTTCATAATTTGGCATTCACACATATTATTAACTCCTTAAACCCTCCACATTTACCCAACTACAATACAACTCTCATTCACATTGGAAAAATGTGACTCTTTGTCATTCCTGTTCACATTATATGAGCTTCCTGCACTAAATTAATGTTGGAATGTTAAATGCATAAGCAGGATGAGGTTTTCATGGCAATGAGTATTAAGATGGCTGTCTTCTGAATTATAGTTGAGTGGTGACTGGTAGAAGTTTCAGAGGTCCTTGCTGCCTACATCAGCAGGGCAATAACTCACTGTACTGATGATGGAGGCCATCTTTGTACTCACTGCCATGAAAGCCTCAAATCATACTTAGTTTTCACTTTATTTACATGCACATACACGCAATATAAAATTATAACAACATCGTCACATTTTCGAGGTGTTAGACCCCAGGTCTTCATGCCAGGCTGTGTTCATTTTCCAGGCATGTACTGTTTTGGATAAAACCTCCCTTTGAAACCAATTGTGACCTTGTCTACTACCAGATCACGAGATGGAATGTAGATACTGGGCAATCTCTACAAACCATCTTAGTGACACAGCCCTTCTTACAACGGTAACACATGATAATCACTAGGTAACCTAAAGCAAGTAATAGTCTCTTAAACCAAACTACAGTAAATTAGCAATTACTCCTAATGAAAATATCAACCAATATCAGATCATCCGACTGATATATCCTTTTATCACTATAAATACAATAATCTACTACTGACAGATCCATAGATCCACTGAATGCCTGGCTTTTTGCTTAGCTTTGTGACAAAATAGGCAGTGATCACACACACAGGTCCTATTTCAAAATTCAACTCCCCTGTTTGAACACTTTTAAGTTTTTCTGGTGAAATAACCAACATGTTAGACTGCACGCATGACTGAAAATGGCTATGTAAATTAGCACACGCTGCAGATAATATGAATTACTGAATTTAGAAAAGACATCATGTAAAGATGGGAATTACTACAATACAGAGATGGTAGCCAGTAGCGCATACTGCACAAACCTCTATGGCCACCATATTAGGCATCGATTACTAAGAGAGTTAAACATATGACCAGGGCTCATCAACTGAATGGTATGTAATGGGGGTGTCTTGAAAATATGTTTTAACAATGAGCACTATTATATAATCTGGAAATGGTTTTGAAAATCTGCTTCTCAAAACACACATAAATATGATGATTTGTCAAAGCGTTTACAGTTTAAGGTGAGATTAGAAAATAATACAGAATGTCCCAAAAAGACATAGACACATATTAAATAAATAAAATAAAAACATTTTAATAACGTACACCATTATACACATCAGCAATGGCATTTAGTGAATTAGCAAAATCTAGTGTAGGCATTCAAAATGACCACCATTAGCTTCGTGGCACAGTTGACAGCGGTGAGGAGCTGACTGACAAGTGACCACCAGGGACGGCTCTGCAAGACCATGAAATTTCTTGCCAGAGCGCTTGAGGTGTTGCTGGCTTTGTGCTGTACAACACATCCTTCAAGTAACCCCACAAGGAAGTCAGGTGGGGTTAAATTTAGTAATCATGGGAGGTACTCAACAGATCCTACGCGTCATATCTATTGGTCGGAAAATGTGTCATCAAGACGGGCCCTGACAATGCTAATGTGGGGTGTCCCGTCTTGTTGATACCATGTCATCTCCATACAGCTGACAAATGGTGGGAAAGATGGATTCTTGAATGTGTATACATATTTTTAAGACATCCTGCATATATGAGCACCAATTACCTTCACATGATACATCAATGTGTTGTAGACTCCATTCAGGAACTCCACACAGAACTCCTTGAGCAACAGTCGAACACTAAACGCAGATCTCCGCTGTAACCCCCCACCTTTCATAGGGAGACGGTTCTTTGGTTTTCTCTGCCTAGTCTGCAAAAAACATACAAATGAGACGTACATCACATTAAGGCCAGTAATATTATTTATGCCACTGTCTTCAAATTTCTTCTCTTACTTAACATGGGAGACATATTATGAAGAAAATTTATTTTTAGTTAAAGTGAGTACAAGGCTCAATCCTTAATCAAAATTACAAAACATAACAAATTGCATGCAGCATAATTTGTTATACTTTCATACCCCAGTCTGCAATATTTTTGTATATGGGTTTGATTAATATTAGTAAGAAACAGTTATTTAAATAAATTAAAATACTTCACTTGTTAATAACATATTGTATAAAATTTTATTAGATAAATTGGTAAATCTCACTTGTCAATCATTATACTGCGTGAAAATATCACAACAGAACAAATTTAAATACATGTCACTGTTTTGCTATGTTGTGTAAAAAGAAGGCTGTAGATCAGTGAACACCTGAACATCATTCTCATAAGACATAAAATAAATAATTAAAAAAACCTTCAACATTATGTAAAACCGATTAATATGAAAGAAAGACAATTTTCATAATCTGTACTCTTCACCAAACATTCTTAGGATGATCAAGTCATGGAGGATGACATGGGTGGGCCATACAAAATTTTGTAGGAAAACCTGACAGGAAAATATGACTTAAAAGGTAACATTAAAATAAATAATCCGGAAACAAGGAGAGGAGGGTAGGCAAAAATCATGTGACTCAGTACAGAAACTGGTGGCAGGCTCTTTAGAACATGATTAATAAACCCCTCAGTTCTATAAAAGTCTGAGAGTTTTTTGACAATCTGAGCAACTATTCGCTCATCAAGAATAACACTCCTACATAGTAATTAGAAAATTAAAGAATACTAGAAAACTGCTCATCAAGAATGGCAAGACAATGTAAAGCGGTACTTAAAGGGCACATTTTATAGAAAAGTTTAAGTGCCACCGAAATAAAAATTGTTAATTATCTTTCATTAATTACAAAAACTGTGAATCCTTAGGATGTAAACATGTTTTGATGTATTGCGTACATAACGGGCCATGATTTGTGAACACTTTAACAGTATTTCAGTACACTGTTTCTACAAAGCAACACATAAAAATTAAAATTAACAAATGTTGCAGAGGGGAAAAAATAGCATTACCTTTGCTTAATTAAAGGATATAATATCATGTATCACAGCTTCAAATATGACCTCACACTGACGTTATTATAACTGTATATAGTAACAACATGCATATTAAACAATAAAGCACAAAATTCCTTAACAGCAAACAACCACCAGCCAACCAACAACGAAGAAAAGGAAGGAGAAAACAAAATAAATTACGTGACCTAAAAATTTACACACAGACGACATCATACATTACTTATGGTGTTAATATTTTATTTCAATGATGACGACTGAAATGTTTACTTTACCTTATCTAGGTCAAAATTCAGAGAATTTAATCTGTTCAAAGGCTTGTGGTAAATAATATCACTGTCACTGACAGACTTCATGTCCTTCAGAACATATGTACCTCCAAATCGTGAATGCCTGCACAAAAGAAAAACAAGCAACTTTATACAACGTTAAGATGCCTTTCAGACAAGGAAGAATGAAAATTATAGCTTCCTCGAATATGCAATAAATCCATTCAAAATAAAGACATAACTAAAGTCCTTCTGTCCTTAAGATAAATGCATAGTACATGAATGTTCCTACTGCCATTTGTAAACACAATATACAATTCAGTGAAATACAAGATGTATCTTCTATGCCTATGTCCTGTCTAAATTATAGAATAAAGCTGAAAATTCAAAAGGTGTCACATTATCCCCATTTATTTTCAACTAAATTTATTCAAACATTTTGAAATCCCCTTTTAAATGCCCAATCACAGCTTCCATTTTGGTATTTTTGATGGAAGTGATTTCATTTACAGGACACAGCTGGATCTACTAAGTTTTATGAAAATTATTCAGTTGCTTCAGAAGTTATGCAACTGGCACGTAACTGAAAGACAGTAAGCGAGTGTATCTCTGATGGTTACTCTCTGAAGTACCATCAATAAAGGTCAGACAATTTCTGATTTCATTCTGGTACAAAGTTGAAGAGAATTAAAAAGTTGCATACAGTAGGGCCCCGCTTTTCGGCGCTCCGCTTTACGGTGATCCGCTAATACGGCGCTCAACAGCTGAGTCAGAGAAGTGCGTCCGGCGCCATTTTCTCGTCGCTGATTCAGTCTGTTTACAGCTTTTGTGCGCTCCGCGTCTCCGTATTTCTGGCAATTTTTCAAAGTTATTACAAACTGTATATTTACGTAATATTTTTGTGTTACTACAGTGTAATTACAAAGGCGTCTAAGGGTAGTAGCGATAAAAAGAGGAGTCGTAAGCCTCTTACTTTAAATGCCAAGTTAGATATAATTAAACTTCGTGAACAAGGCATGTCTATGGCCGAGATAGGACGTAAGCTAGGCCTAGCTCGCCAAACTGTTACTGCCATCGTGAACGCTAAGGAGAAAGTGTTAAATGAAATTAAAAGTGCCACACGAATGAACTCTAAAGCCATAAGAAAAAGAGATAGCCTTATTGCTGACATGGAAAAACTTTTAGTTGTGTGGATTGAAGATCAAACGAGCCACAATGTGTGTACTACTGATATTCATTTTACTTTCATATCGTTTTCTTAGGCCTAGCGCTATTGTGCACTTACTATATGATAGTGTAAACATCTTATTAGGCTTTGATAAGCATTTGCAAGTGAAAAAAGGCAAAGATCCGCTTTACGGTGGGGGTCTGGTCCCTAACCTGCCGTATAAGCGGTGCCCTACTGTATGTCCTCCATGTGAGAAACAATTACAGAATTTTCACACTGTTATATTTTATTTAGTGTTCTGTCTGACGACAGGTCCATTCTTCTGCCCAAAAAGAGTTTGCCAGTTTTCCCTATTCTCAGCTTCTCATTTTAATTCCTGAAACTTCATCTTCTTTCCTTCTTTACTACATCTTAATTGTATAGTACAGTATTGGACCCCATTCCAGCATCTAAAAATCTGGCAGACTCATATTTGAAACACACACACTCTTCAACAATAAACGTCACCTGATCCATGTTGGATAGCACAAAATGTTTGATTCAGAAATGCATTAACAGATTCAGATAAATGAGACGATTCATGACAGAAGTATGACATCAGCCAGGGCTACCGCTGTGGAGACAAGCTCTGGGTACAGCTGGACACCTGTGCAGCTTCTTGGTCAAATAGGAAGTGGTAAATGCTATATTATATTTGCAAAAATGGTTATTTCAGAGTACAGTTTGAGTGCAACTTCAATATTACTGCTCTTTAAACACCTCCTTTAGGCCCACCTAGAATTCTGCACTTGCATCTTCTAACAGTTCTGAGATTATGTGACCTCATAAACTTCCGCTTTTGGCTAGCTTATCAAAATGAATTCAATTCTCTGAAACATACGAAAAGAATTCAATGCTAAAAAAAATTGTATCATCTAACATTTGGGATCCACTGGTCCATTACTCACAGTTAACCATTTGGCTGTGTTGTACCAAACTGCACTCTGATATTAGTTTAAAAAAATATACTTTTCAATGTAATACCTGGCTCCTGTAAACTTTTTCACTTTTGCCTGCCTCTGGAAAATCTCTTCCTGTCTGATCACTACCAGTTCCACCTCATCCCGTTCCTTCTCTTCCACACTTCTAGCGACAGCTGTATCAGCCAACTGTTCTGGGTTTTGCTCTCGAAGCATCAATGACACAATCTACAAATGACACCAGATTGTAATTCACCTTTTAAACATGTTTCATTAGAGACAGATGCTGACTTACACAAACATATGTAAGCTGATTTTTATACGTGTCAGAAATTATCAGAAATAGCTTGCTTACAGCGCATCAATTTATTTTAAAACATCATAAAGTAAATATTTTTCAAAATATTTATGAAGTCAGATTAGTGTAAGTCAAATCTCGCATAACCCTAGGAAGGACCTTGTACAAAATTTAGGAGTCTCGCTATCACAGAGCTACTCCTCCCTGTGTTACATACTGGGCAGCCAATTTAGGGCCAATAAGTAATTTCTGAAAGAAATGTTACGGTTACTCCAATACAATTATTTTCAAATACAGCCTTACAAAAACCTCTCCACCTGTTAAAAATAGTGACATGATTACACCCTTCTTTCTTTCAAGGAAAGAAAGTCTGGTGGGTGGGTGATGACATCTTTTTAGAATCCACCTTGTACTTTAAAATGAGGAACTCAAGGAAACATTTAAAATTGCCGGATATTACACAATGAGGAACTACTGTTATGACATTAGATGTCAGGTTCTCATGGTAATGAGCCTGATGACAGTGGCAAAAAGCTACTCTGAATCATCAGTTAATATCAATCACACTACATGGTGCAGCATCCAGAAGATCATCATTTTCACTCTGTTATGATAGTAAAATTTAAGTTATAATGGGATAGGTATGTACAGTAGCTTAGGATAGGAAAACAAAATACGAATATAAAATTATGATGAGATAACATCTTAGAAGGTACCCTTTTGGATGATCCAGAAGCTTAAGCTCAGGATTTCCTAAATATGAAGAAAGAGTAGCAACCACTCGACTGCAAAACTTATTTCAGGTTGAAGATTTCCGTCTTCTGGGTTGTTGCGCTGTGTAGTCTGGTCGATGTTAACCAACGTTTCAGAGGTCATACTGCCTCCGTCATCAGGGCGATGAGTATGAAGATTTCTGTCTTCTGGGTTGTTGCAACGTGTAGTCTGGTCGATGTTAACCAACGTTTCAGAGGTCATACTGCCTCCGTCATCAGGGCGATGAATATGCCAATATGGTGTGTGGGGCTAGGTTTATAGGGCCGGAAAGTGAAAGATGTAGCCTACCCTGAGCCAATGGGAGCAGGCGTGGGAGTGGACCAATGGTAGCGCGTGGGCGAGTGTGGGAGAGGGAGAGAAAGTAAAGAGAGAAAGGGTGAGTTCGGTTGCATGGATCTGGGCCTTTCAGGTTACTACACATTTAAAAAGTGTACATTAACTGAGACTACGTCTTTAACCCTGCATAAATTGCAACATTTACCTCTAAAACATGCATGTAATATAGCTGCTCATTCTCAGAAGAGGCTATGTACAAGAACAGGTCAGATATCCCAGACTGATGAAGAGCCCAAAGCACCTGAAAGAAATAAACCATTCAAATGTAATCACAAACCGTCCTCAGTCATTATAAAGAGCCACCATATTTGAGCAACCTTTTCACACACTCTCTTCACCGGAACATGTTTCAGACCAATGCGGCTATCACCAGGTTCTACTCCCTGCTTCTATGTCACTGCACTAACGATCTCCTCCCTGATGTCCACAAATAATGATAAACGTATATATTAACTATTTTTAATTTAGTTGATACAGTTAAAATGTCAAAAATGATTATCAAAAAATGTTTTGCCACAGCCTGGTGCACATACAACTCAGAGAAAACACACCAGGACTCACCGGGCAGTTTCAACCAAATTAAAAATTGTTAATATATATATCAAATCTAAAACTTCTTGACGATGGTGAAGAGTCATTTGAATAAACATTTCCTTGGATATTAACCATCGTCTAGTAAATATAAAACGTATAACGACGTTTCGGAGATGGGACTCTATCTCCGTCTTCAGGTTCCTACACAGTCGTTTTACGTTTTATATTTACTAGTCGATGGATAATATCCAAGCAAATTTTTATTCGAATGTTAATATATAGTTTTATAATTATTTCTGGATATCAAAAAGGATATCCTTAGTGCAATAATATAGAAGCAAAGAACTGAAATAAAGAACAAACTTTATAAATACTTAAAGATATGCAGAATCTGACTGGTCTGAAACATGTCGTTCAAGTGAACAGAATGTGTGAAAAGTGGCGTACCATAAAAATATCAACATAAGACACAAGGATGCTACACTACAGAACATTAGAGACATTACCTGATCATGAACACTAGCATCATTGTCAGTCCTCTTCTCACCTTCAAGATCGACTGGGACTTGCAACACATTCCGTACCAAGACAAGGATCCTCTCTATAACGAGATTCTTTTCTTCCTCTCTCTCCAATGGATCCTACAAGTAGATTGGGAATAAATAATCTGTAAAGGATACAGGACATCCTCACATTATGGAAGCGTTGCATTCCAAAGGTTCACTCAAAACACAGACAACCTCAGTCTATTAATTGTTTCACTGCTAGAGACAGAACAGTTCTGGTGCAAACTATGTTATTCATGTTAAAAGTTCTGAAAGGGCAAAGTGACATGTAATATTAATCTTTCTTACCTGTCAGTCAAATATTGATGTAGTTTAGTCTGATCATGAGACAGGGTAGTTATTGTCTTGAAAACAAAATTTCAGTGTAAGAACACTGATCTGAAATGTGTGAGAACAAAATATTGTATGGGGTCCAAGCCCTCACAATCAAGTAATGTTTCCAGTAACAGTGAAGGGTTGAACCCATAATTAAACATATATACACTACAACTGTAATGAATCTATATAAAAAATCTATACGGCTACTGAAATTGTGGATGAAGAAAAAGGACTTGCCAAGTACGAGGCGCGTCCACAAAGTAAGTTTCCCACTCGTCCCACAGCTAGCAAACCTTATATTGAGCGAAGCGACTGTGCGTACGTGATAGAGCAATGACGTAGCATGGCGCATGCACTAACGGCACTTCCCGCGTTCTCACAGTAGCATCGTTGCAGCTGTTGAAGATGGAGGTTCTTATTCCAGCTCCCGCCGACTGTGAAGTGCGGTCAGTGATAACGCTAGGCCGCACACGGCTCGACGGACAGCAAGTCTCCTGCAGGAGTTCAGCTGGGAGGTGTTTAATCATCCACCCTACAGCCCGGACCTCGCTCCCAGTGATTTCCATCTTTTCCTACACCTCAAGAAATTCCTGTCCGGTCAGCGTCAGCGTTTTGAGAATGACAGAGAGGCGGAGATGGTTGTCACACAGTGGTTCCAATCCCAGGCGGCAGACTTCTACGACACAGGTATTCAAAAGTTGGTCCCACGGTATGACCAATGTCTCAATTCCGGTGGCGAATATGTTGAAAAATAGCTGGACACTTGCTGTATCTGTTGCAATAAATATTCCCATGAAATTGTGTTTTGTTTCTGTAAACGGCCCCAGGGAAACTTACTTTGTGGACGAGCCTCGTACATGAAAACTCATTCAAGAAGTAAAGTAGAAGTGTTGCTAACAGACTTGCAAAAACTACAAAATTACACTATTTCTTACCAAATCTTTTGAAAGAAAATCAGTTAATATGTGTAAAAGTTATTATTGGAGAGCTACATGAAAATATATGAAATGACACATACTTTTAAAAAAATTATGCAACAGTAATCATAATAAACAGTTAAACAGCACTTTTACAAAGGGGCAAACCATAATAAATCTTATCATTAAACTTGTTTAACTACCTTCTTTCACAATATTATTTCTAAGTCATAAGCACCATTTCCTTTGCATGTAAGCAAGAACACAGGAATAAAGTTAAAATTAATATACTCACAATCTTCAGTATATCTTCAAGTTTCCTGCTAAATATTGCCCAAATAGTGACATCACAAAATGCAATTTTGTAGGACTGCAAATGTGTTATAATCTGTAGATAATAATTGCGTGATGTCTTTTCTGCTGGCAACTCTTCACGATACAAAACCAGCGCTGGAGTCATCAGATTCACAAGCAATCTATTGAGTACATGAGGTAAGAAATATATTTTACAATACACTTACAAACAGACATACAACAGAAAATATTTTAAAATAGTTCAGCGTAATAAAGATGTGATTTCTTCCTCACCTCAAAATTACATCAAACAAATCTACTTTCTCCCAGAAATCCTTTAAAATAGGTAGCAAATCTGCTTGAAGAATTTTCGATGTACCAAGATATCGACGAACTTCATGGTTTTCATCATCCCGACGCAAATAACGAATGAGATCCTTTATGGTTTCTGAAATGTTAAAGTAAGTACTGAAGACATGTTTAAATTATTTTAATCCTTTAAAGTCACATCTAAATATTTAAAGATACAAATCCTAATGCAAAGAATATGTAACATTTTTCCATTACAATGCTCACCTGGTTATTGCTGTTTAAGGATATAGTTGATAATGATGAGTTAACACTACTATATGACACTTTATTAAAAGTGAGGCCTATATCAACAACAAAAACTTTGTACTGATACTTACCCCGGCAGTGAGTATCAATGTAATATTTGCTGCCATCAAAATACCCCAGGGCATTGCATGTTGCTGCAAGCTCAGCAAAAAGCAAAGAAGACATCTTACAGATATTGAAGCCAGGCCATAGAGGTTAGTTCCAAGGTTTCAAAACTCAAAGATCTTCCTCAGTCTGAAATATTATATATAAATGCACATCACCAAAAATTGTTGAAAGATGGACAAACTGCAAATACTGTTACAATCATGTAGTAAAGTATGAAAGTATTATTTTGTCCACAGCATAACACAATTATAACATTATTATATTAGGCTTTACAATATATAGGCTTATAACCCACACGAATCCACTTTGTCCTACCCATAACCTCAATTAATTCCAGAAAATTCTATACTTCTCACGTATATAACATTACAACTTGTAATTAATCTCGTACTCACAGTCCTCGTTTCACAACAAATTTAGCACCACAAATTTAAGTTACATTCCCTTCAATTCCGTCTTCTTTGCAGAGAATATCTCCATAAACACAACCACGCCGTGCATAACAATTTTGGCGCGTTCAAGATGCCGATAAACACGTTAACAAATGAGGATCTAGTAAATTTCGCAGAGGGAAATACAAATGCCATACGAACACTGCTTCATATTGCTGTGTTATTATTTTATAATCTCTTAGCTGGAGTCTGTTTTATGCATACGAAAGTTGTCGTGTTGAAAACAACCTCATTATGTCACCAGGCATGTTCTTTGTGGCCTTACAACAAAGAGCCTATTTCGCCCTTTGCGACATTTAGAGCTATATTGATGAGTCAAATCTGTCCATCTGAATTTCAAGAGCTCCCTTCTTCTAACCGCATTGTAGCCGAGATGTCGGTACTCAGATACCGATAACTTTGTACGACAGTCACGACTACTTAAGGTTCAGAAGACACCTCACTAAACAACATCATTTATCTACAACGCTGTAGGACACAACAGTTTTGAAATTAAATTCATTTATCTGATATCCTTACTGCCTTCTCGAAGGTATCACCACCTTGTCGAAGGCAATCTGCCGGGTGAGGAGGCTTGCGTGCTCAAATGACCCTTAGGGCTATGCCGGCCTGAGCTTCGGCTCATGGTAGGGTCACCCAAGCCGGACAGGTCTAAGGAGATGCGCTAGACTAAGAGTGATACCCTGGTCCTCCAGGTTGGGGGTTGGGTGGAGGGCTAACAACCTTTCACCTTTAAAAAAAAAATAGGTGTTACGAAAAAATCAACCAAGCCTCGGATCAGGACGGACTCTTTGGCACGACCACGGCAATTGAAAAAGGACATGAGATTTGGTAC